AAGAAGGGCAATGCCAAGGAATGTTCAAACTATTGCACAATTGCACTCATATCACAAGCTAGCAAGGTCATGATCAAGATCCTACAAGCTAGGCTTCAACAGTACGTGGATAGAGAACTGCCAGAAGTACAAGCTGGGTGTCGAAGAGGCAGAGGAACTAGAGATCAAATTGCCAACATTTGCTGGATTATGGAAAAAGCAAGAGAGTACCAGGAAAACATCTACTTCTACTTCATTAACTATGCTAAAGCCTATAGTGGGAAAATACATAAGATATGAAGAAATATTTTAAAGTTAAGTTTGATTGCTGCAATGATGTTGATTAATGTAATCTTTGGTTGGGTATTTGTTTGTTTATCTGTGTTTGTTATGTCTTTAAAATTCAATAAAGAAATTATATATAGACTATGCTAAAGCCTTTGACTGTGTGGATCACAACAAACTATGGCAGGGCCTTAAAGAAATGGGAGTACCAGACCACCTCACATGTCTCTTGAGAAACCTGTATAGGGGTCAAGAAGCGACAGTTAGAACCAGATATGGAACAACTGATTGGTTTAGCATAGGAAAAGGAGTACAACAAGGATGTATATTGTCACCTTGCTTATTTAATATATATGCAGAGTACATCATGCGAAATGCTGGCCTGGATGAATCACAAACGGGAATTAAGATTGCTGGGAAAAAGATCAACAACCTCAGATATGCAGACGATACCACTCTAATGGCAGAAAGTGAAGAGGACCTTAAGAGCCTCTTGCTCAGGGTTAAAGAGGAGAGCATTTAATCCTTCCTCCTTGCATGGATTTGCCCATCAGATCCTCTGCTCCTCCCTGCTCCTATTCACCTTGGAAAGAGAGAAGGCAGGCAAGAGATGGGTGTCTCATTTTCCTTTCAATGGAAAAGTTAGCCTTTAAAGATGTTGAGAAGATCCTATCAGTAATGATCTCCTATCCGCATACCTGTTTTAACGTTATACGGTCCAGTAGGTGTCATAATTGTGGTTGGCCATGCCCTGGCAAAACAGAGCTTCAAACAGTGACTTGGATTCACCAGGAAATTTTGCTCATTGAAGGGATTTCCATCAGTGGAGTGTGGCTTCCTTGTGTCCACTCTCCCACTGCTGCTCCTGGGAGAATGGGGGACCCCCAGAAACAGGACTGTAGCAGAAGGGGGATCTGGTGAAAATTGCTCCCCTCCATTTGCAGAAATCCTCTCCAAGATCCAAGCCAGGGCATTGGTGATCTGGGATATCAGCATATGTGGAAACCTTTACAACACCATTCACGACACCAAAAGGCAACAATTTATGATGGATTCACCATCATGCTATACTGGGTTTTGTGAACAAATGGTTAGATATTGCAAATTTTGAACATTTCCCGGGGGTGGGGGGCTTTTAGCAAAACAGCCTTGCATTTGAGAATAATAAGGTGATGATTACCTTTTTTGCTAAATCCACAAGTTTGGTGAAGTAAACTCAGCTCATTGGAACTGTCAAAGATTGGCTTTCACAAATTGTGAGAAGCTGGGCCTGAGATAATCTTATCCCACTAGGTCAAGCTGGCGCGTCCTGTGCTGAAGAACCCATGGTGCAACGAACTGCACCAGCTCATCTACAAAGCCAGATTTCCCATAGTAAAGCTTCTAGTAGCTTCTGCTCTCCCATCTTAGGCACTTACCTGTTATTATTGTGCAGCTGGCTGCAGGAATCTTGAGCCAGTTTGGGTGGGTCTCCCAGTGCCTGCCTTGATGAGGCTCTGCCCATCCCACGACATATTCGTTAATCAACGAAGGCGGCACAGGAGGTGCTGCCCATGCAATAAAGATTCTGCCATTTCCCACTGATGCAGCAGAGAGATTGGAAGGGTGCAACAAATCTTCAAAGGGGAGAAAAAGCATGAGACTCATGAATGCATGGGGTGGTGAGATAATTTACAGTAACTGCTTTAGTCTGAGCCATGCACTTTACTACTAATGTTGATGTGACTAAATTTCATTGTGTTGTTTGCACAGTTTTAACAATAACATTGTTTTAATGCATTTTGTATGCTCTGCAAGCCAGCCTGAATGTAGGAAACAGGGGAAGACCAGGAAGACAAATGACCCAGGACCAATCTCAACTGAGCAGTTTTTTTGGCTCCAGCAATTCCACAGGAGCCAGGTGGCTTGGACCCCACTGCTGGTTGGGGGGAATACAGACGGAGGTGACAAGCAAGCTTTTGGCCATCACTCCTGCTGGTTGGGCTTGAGCCAAGCTACCCCTGCAGCAGTGCCAGCGTTGCTGGGGCTCAGCTTGGTTTGCTTCTCCCTGCCAGTGGCCCACCAGGAAATTTCCCAGGAAGTTAAAAAGCCAGTCCGCCCATGGCTGGTAGGAAGAACAGGATACAGAACCTTTAATAAATACACTCCAAGTAGTGAACACGGGAGCAGCTCTGGTTAATACTGGAGGATTTCAGTTTATGAAACTGAGAGGGGTCACTGAATGGGACACTAAAGCAAAATGAGTAGAAAGTTTTGCAACTGCTGAGAAGATCTGGCAATGGAAAAAAATTACTGTTAATCATCAGGGTTAAAAGTGATGATGTTATGATGATTAATTTGCTTTATAAAGCTCCACAAATACCTCAGCTCTGTACAAAAATATCCTCAGCAAATGATGCCAAAAACTGCCACATTGCATGCTTCCCTACTTTGTCCTATAGTTTTTTTTAAAAACAACTTTTATTAGGATAATACACGTTCACATTATATCATCTTCAATATATATCCTTTTCTTCTTACTCCCCCCCTTTTCGTAGGCTTCCAACAGCGTACCTACCACCAGCTCAAACCTTAAATTCTAACATGTCTCTAATCTTTTATCATATAGCTATAGGTAACAAATGTTCACATATATATCATTATAAGTTCTACTTTGTCCTATAGTAAAGAATGGGAAAGGTTAAATCCAAGCTGTATCGACTGTGACTGAGCAAGGGGTGACCACTGCCATGTTCTCTTATGAGGCAATATTGACTTGTACAGTTGAGACACGTAGTAAAAAATCTGGTAGCTTTAAGCATGTTTGTTCTAGTTCTGTCCTATGTAAAAATGAACAGTCAGTAGTATATCTTTCCTATGGATTAGGGATGCCAACCTCCAGGTGAGACCTGGAGATCCCCTGGAATCACAGCTGATCTCCAGACTACAGAGATCAGTTTCCCAGGAGCCAATGAATGCTTTGGAGGGTGGACTCTATGGCCTTGTACCCCACTGGAGTCCCTGTCCTCCCCAGGCTCCATCCCCAAATCTCCAGGGGTTTCCCAACCTGTATCTGGGCACCTTACCCCCCATCCCCTGCCGGTGGCCGGGGGGGAGGGCTGGCAACCCTACTATAGAGACCTCTTACCTGAAATTTCTAGGTCAGTAGTGATGTAGACAGGTAGGAAGATCCCTCTTGAGTTGTAGTAATAAACTGTGATTCTGTAGTTTGATACAGGCATGACTCGTGAGAAAACGGTCTGTGTTGTAGAATGTGTTTCTGTTGCTTGGTGAGGCTTCTGGTTCAGGGCCTGAAAGGTCACTCTGCAAGGATGGCTTTTCCCTCTTGTTTCTGATGGGTTCGTATTCTATAAAGAAACCACTTGTTTTTCCCCATGTGTGTTGTTTTGCTGCCCTCCCAAACAAAGAGGCTTTGTCAGCAATTTAAAGCCAGCTTTCAGCTGACTGCTCATCTAGCTAAGCTACTGAGAGAATTTGCCTGTTGTTGGCCCCGGCCACACGGCAGGGGAAAATGCGCTCGAAGGCGCGGCTTTTAAAAGCCGCGCCAACGTTGATACGGCTCGGCGGGATCCCACGGATCCCCCGGCCGAGCCGCCTTTTCTCCCCGGCGCGATCAAACGCCGGAGAGAAAAGACGGCTCTAACCGGGAGCCGGCCGATCTGCGCATGTCGGAGCATGCGCAGTTCGGCTCCGGCCCGGGATTGAGCCGGCGCAAGGGAGCGCCGGCGATCAGACGCCCGGGAAGAAGCGCCTCATCCGTTTGAACCACCGAGGTAGGTGGTTCAGTTTGAGGCGGTTCTTCCCGGGTTTGGGCCAGTTTGGAGGCGGAAGCAGAACGCTTCCCAGATGTTGTGGTGTGATCGCGCTGCTTTGATCCGCCTCCAAACTGTCCCGTTCCCGGGCCAAATCGCCTCGTGTGAACGGGGCCGTTGTATTTTTAAAATGCTCTTCTATTTGACTTTATAGTGTGCAGTTTTCTCATCCACTTATTCTCCCCATCTGGCAAGATAGGACCAAGCTGTGAGACTGGGACTTTCCCAAACCACATGGCTAGCATTGTCCACTGACTGGGAAAGGGCCTCCCTTTTCTAAACACAATATTTTTTCTGGCCTCACGTCCATCTATCACTTTCAAAATGTGAAGTTCTTTTATTTTAATTGTCTTCAGCACAACTCTGCCATGTTACTCTGATGTGACAGGTAGGGGAGCAGAAGCTGTGACAGGATTGGATGTGGCTGCAAACACTGGATGGAGTGGTCTTTGAGGAAAGAAAAGTCCCATGAATTCTGCCACAAATTCCAGATGGGTAGCCAGATGGGTGTTAGTCTGCAGCAGCAGAATAAAACAGGAGTTCAGTGGCACCTGCTAAAATTCAGCAAGAAACTGAGCTGAATGTGGCTATGCGGGGTGGATACAGTGGAGTCTTGGCCTCCAAGAGGGAGAGAGAAGTGCCCCTTTTATCCCATCAAAAGTGAGAAGCTATGAAGTTACAGAGTTTAGCAAAATTTCACAATGCCACGTTTATGGAGAATATTTTCACTTGTAATTCCAGAGGGGTAGCTCAGGGTCAGTCCTGGCTGGTATTTGGATGGGAGGCCTCCAGGGAATACCAGAGTCATGACACAGAGTCCGGCAATGACAAACCACCTCTGAACATCTCTTGCCTTGAAAACCCCATGGGGTTGCCAGCACTTTCCACCACCAGTGGCAATATTAGTCCTGTTTCAGCAAAAACAATGGTTTTGTGGCATGTTACCGTTTAACATTCCACAAGTTTTGGCAGATAGTTTGCAGCTGAAAGCTCGTATGTATGTAGTTCATGAAACCTCATATGTATGTAGGTTAGTGCTGTCAAGTTGCACCCGATTTATGGTGACCCCAGCAAGGAACTTTCAAGGTGAGTGAGAAGCAGAGGTGATTTGCCGCTGTCTTCTCCTGCAGAGTCTTCCTCAGTGGTCTCCCATCCAAGTTGTGACCTTGCTTAGCTTGTGAGATTTGATGAGATCAGGCTATACCATGTCACTCCTTCCCCCCTTGAAAGATCATGCTGGAATAAAATGTTTGTAGTCTAGATTGCTTTTTATTTTCATTTGCTAAAAGAAGCAAAAATGCACTCATTCCGAAGTCTTTTATAAATAGTTTCTCTTAAATTTAACTTAATTATTATGGAACAAAATATTTTGTTTTATTGAACTGTTCAGACAGGCTGGGAAAGGGGTCAAAAACAATGTAAATTTTACTGGTAAATTGTAGAATGTTTTGTTAAGGGTTCATAAAACCCACTGAAGGACAAAGATACGTCAGAAGTGAGACCAAGAATGTTAAATTTATCATAAAATGCATCTGAGAATGCAAGTCCCCAGCAATGTGCCCCTATTTCCTTTTGACAAGCAGTATGCCAATAAAACAAAGTTTAAGTTCAGTGGCACCTTTGAGACCAACAAAGTTTAATTCTGGTTATAAGCTTTTGTGTGCCTGCATACTTCTTCAGGTAAATTAGTAAGACATGAGTAATCATGAGAATATTCTTGTCAGTACAAATGTTACTGGATCTAAGTAGCATCATAAACTTAACAAACACACTTTTAAGATGCTATAGCAGCAGCAAAGAAGTCTGTACCAAAATTGCTTAGGGTAGGTTGAGGAAGGCCTTCCACCACCCAAACTCTCTCCAGTTGAAGATCAAAATCTAATACAACAGGACTGATGCAAAGGTTGTGCAAAGTATTAGTCCAAGACTGTTTTTGCTGACCATTTGTTAGGACATAGAAGAATTTGCTCCTCTCATCCCAACCCACTGCCTGGGACCATCATTTCTGTTCTGGCCCCCAAAGAGAGCGTAGCTCTGGAGGGAGCAGAATCTCCCCAGACTGTGGTAGATTAAGGATGTTCTCCTTCCCCATCACCCCATTTTCAGTTAGGGAATGGACTTTCCATCGCTTTTAAGTTTGACACATGCATACACATAGCACTGCACATTCACATATACCCTTACCTTCCAAAAAATAGTAATATTCTCCGTTTGGGAGGACATGTCCTTCAAGTACCAGATATCAAGTGGCCCAAATGGTGCTGGATGAAAGGGGGGGAAATTGTTCTGTAACATCATGCAGTTTCCATTCTGCTAAGCCTTGGCTAGCATGCAGGAGACAAATGGAAATGGGAAAAGAATTGCTTGCAGATTGTACAATAGCACAAACCAAATACCACTTTGACAGGTGAAGGCAACAAAATCAGCTTGTCCCAATAAGAAAAAATCCCATTGCTTCTCCAAGGCTATTGTGGCATAGTGCCTTGGTCACTGATAGAGCAATCGTTTAAAAAATAGAAGGGCAGGGGTCAGATTGGCATCACTCTGTCATTTTCTTCCTTGTCCCTTTAATAGTGGTCAACTCTGTTCTCTTGGATAACTATGACATTGATTCAGAACCAGAGAACTTGAGGGCAGTCTTGGATGGATATTGGGAGACAAAGAAATTTCATTTCCAAAAAAAGTTGGTCATTTCCATTTCATAACTGAAATATTATCATTCAGGTGCATGACCATAAAATGCCATCTAGAATTGAAAGGATAAGGAGCAAGTGGGAGTCTTGGCATTCACATCTTTTTGACTTCTGCATCAGACAGTGTTTCATGTCGAAACTGACACCATCAATAGTGGTCAGTGGTGCTATGATTACAATTCAAACAAGGATCTAGTATATTTGATGGAAACCCCCCCACACAAAAAATATCAAACTTCTGCTCTTATTTATGCCTTTGATGCTAACAACTCTTTGCCAAAAGTCATGTCTCACAGAGGATATGAAAACTGTGGTAATTGTTCTTTATTCAAGATTCAGTTTCAAGGAAAGTGAGCAGCCTTTTATGAGAGTTTTTGGAATTTGCAGAGAGCCATCCAAAGAGGGTCTTTCAAAATCTTACTGGGATCTATTTAATGGGGCCCACTCCCATGAAAGTGTTAAGAAGAACATAAGAGCCCTGTTTCATCATAACAGTGGTCCAACTAGTCCAGCATCCTGTCTCACCCAGTTGTCAACCAATTACTCTGGAGGACCAACATTTTACTCATCCCTTTTCTAACCTAAAAAGACAACACACTCTTCAGTCCTTCCTCCTAGGAAATACGTTCTAACTCCTTAATCACCTTGGTTGTCCTCTTCTGTATTTGGCAATGTCCTTTTTTTTTTTTATCCCCCGAAGCAGGGTAGCTTTATTACTTTTTTGTTACACCTAAACACTACAGAAAGAAAAAAGGGAAGGGAAGTTACCCCAGGGAAAAAAAAGACAGAAAATAAAAGACCCACACTATAACTAAAACCCCAAGAGAGAGGTCCTATAAATAGCGATGATGATGAAAGAACTCTGAACGCACGTAGAAGAAGAAGAAGAGACTATTACTAATATGAACTCACTAACTTCTGAATACATTGACTTAAACGAAAAGTTTTTTTGTTTTAAATACTAACAGAATACTAACTGTTTAGTCAATGTCCTTTTTGAGATATGGTGACCAGAACTGCACAGAGTATTCCAAATGAGGCTGCACCGATGCATGTGCATCAAAATATTGCCTGTTTTGCTGTCAATCCATTTCCTAATAATCCCCAGCATAGTTTGCCTTTTTCACTGCTGTAGTACTCTGGGTTGATATTTTTATTGAACTCTACTACAACCCCATCTGGGTATACTTAAAAAAGGATTTTTTTTGTTTCAAAGTGCATGACCTATCTTGAACATCACTTGCCACATTATTATCCACTAATCCAATGTGTGGGGGTCCTCCGGGAGCTCTTCACAGTAAGCCTTGATTTTCCCAATCCTGAATAATTTGGTGTCATCTGCAAACTTTGCCACTATACTGCTCACCCTGAGTTCTAGATCATTTATGAACAACTTAAATAGCATCAGCGCTGATATTGATCCTTTTGGGACTTCTCTGCCTATTTCCTTCCATTTATTTCTACTTTCTTGTTCCTTTCATAAAGCCAGTTTTTAATCAATAAAAAACTTGTCCTCTTATCCTCTGACTGCTAAGCTTACTCAGAAGTTACATGGGGCAGAAACATGCAACTGTTATTTCATGTTTTGTTGTTTAGTCTCCAGATCAAATGACTATATCCTGTGATCCTTATTAAATTCCTACAAGAATAGTCTACAAGTATAGTTGATTTCTACCTAAGTATAAAATAAATAGTAGCCTTTAGCGAAGAAGAGGGTTCAATTGATCCAGGGGGGAAATGACAAAACCTTGTTTTTAGTCTTCTATAGCTCTCATCTCCGTATTTTATTTTCCTTTAATGAGGCACACTCCCTGCTCCATTTCATGCCCCTTTCTAGCTTTTTTTGTAAACTGCAATGTATTCTCTAATGGCATTGGGGGTAATTGTATTTTAAGTTAAACTGAAACTAGTGGATAGAATAATTAAAATTTTATGTTCTTTATTCTCTTTTACATTCTCTCCCTGAGAAAATGTCTTTCCTGGTACTCTGTTCCTTTTCTGTCAGAAGGAAATACTTAATAAAGGGATTTTTTTTTTAAAGCCAGTGGCACAATCACTGCAACCCACAAGGTTTTAAAAAGTTTTTCCCCATGACTTATTTGAAGGCTATTCAACACCCACAACATGGGTTGTACTGAACCAAAATTTTCTGTCAGTGGAACAAAACTTTCCTGCCCCCGCTCTCCCACTGCATCCTAATGATTGCCAATGATGTTGAGGGTGGTCTACAGTGAGAAGGGGGAAATGGTGGAAACTGCCAGTTTAGCCTGGGTCCAACCTTGATATCAGTTAAATTGACTTTATGTTGACATTAATGTGAATGCTTATCACCTGCTTCTATTTGCAATGACTTGCTCCAGTCGCTCCATAAGCCTTTGTTGGGAAAGAACCTGCAGGACACCAGGAACTCATACTCTGTGTCTGGCTTCAGGTCTTGTAGGTCATATCTTCTGGCAGTTATATTTTCAAGCTTTAGTGAAAAGTAAACCCCCCCCCCAAAAAAAAAACACACATTAAAGCAAAATGACAGCTGCCATTAGTAAGTATCAATTAACGGTTGGCTGTGGTTTTTCAGTGGAGAAGGAAGAGTGTTCTGCCTATGTTCCAAGATGCTCTTTTGTTGGCAGTGTATATATCCCAGTTACACACTGTGTGGGAAATAAGTGCCAGTTCCAACATTCGGAATATCAAGTATATATGCTACAGGTGACCTCTTTGAACCAGTGTTGTATATTGGCATAAGCCCACACCCTTATGTCCTTCCTATTGCAAAGCTGTGGGGTTGGATTGAATGCTTGTTCAACAGTTGCTTTGCATTTCTTAAAGCTATTAATGCCTCATTAATGGAACAATACCAAAGCCCAGGGCTCTAGTCGGGGGGGAGCTCTCAGGTACGGAGCTCCGGAAGAGAACCTCTAGGGGGCGGGGCGGTCACGTGGTGAAGCCCCGCCCCCTTCTTTACCCCGCCCTCTGCTTCGATCCTCATTCCGTTTGGGAATGAGGATGAAGCAGGAGGGTAAGTAGCCGGGCCTTCTGACACACTTCCGGTGATGTCAGGGGGTGTGGCCTTCTGTCACTTCCGGTGATGTCAGGGGGCGTGGCATATGCAAATAAGTTATGCTAATGAGTTATGCTAATGAGCTCCGGCAGCTCTTTTTCTACAACAAGACCCCTGCCAAAGCCTATTGTATGGTTACTACTCCCACTGTCAGTTGGTGACTCTTTTACTTTACTTTAACACAATGAATGTTCTGGATAAAGGAATGGCTGATTTTCTACAAACCCACAAAAATAGTGGCAAGAACTTGAAACCCAGCTATGGACTATGATGCCTGTTTCTATCAAGAGAAATATATGTAGAAGTTAATATCAAGCTAAGGGTCTTTTGCATATTGGAAAGACTGGAGAATTATGAATTTATGACATATACACTTATCATGTTTTTCATGACTGATTATTCTCTTGGGATATTTTCTAATCTAGGCTGAGCAAATATGAAGTATGCATCCAAAGAATTTAATTCTATATCAGATGTATATAATTCCATTTATATAGAATGCTACGGAAAGAAAAATTGAAATTATTTATAAATGATCAGGATGTCACATCTGAACACCACATTAATGATACACAGATGTAAAATAACATGTATAATAAAAAGGTGTTACCATAATCCAGGAATTGCTGTTAATTGGTCTGAATCTTATTCTGAAGAGTTGAGTGTCTTGTTGATCTTGCCAGAAAATAGTGCAATTTCTTCCATCAAAGCTATCAAATTCCACAGAGATATCCGGTGGGGAATGAGGTTTCACTGGTGGTGGTGACCAAAAATACATTTAAAAGCAAAAGTTAATATTACTGCCAAAGAAGATTTCAAAAGTATGCAAAATATTAACTTACATAAAAGGGATTCTTATTTATTAAAGCCACAATATAATGAGATAAATCATGTGATCACATGTGATATTCTCATTGCTGGGTCAGAACCTGTATGCACAAGCTGATGAGATCATCAGCATGGTCAGCATTAACGATGCTTGTTCAAGGATGAGGATAGAATCCATTCCACTTCCCTTTAACAGGACTGTGGTCACACGAGCAGTTCATGCCAGTATTATCGATGTACCTTTGCAGATGTAAAGAGCATGATCAGACAACATCTGCCTTCCATGCCCCAATCATTGGGACATCCTAGAAGCAGAGTTTGCCAACACCGGGGAAAGTCCGGTCTTTACATATGCCAGCACTTCCACCACACATTTCCAGATGTCTGAAACCCCCTGTTGTGAAGTTAAGCCATTTGGGAAGTCTGAACCTTCCCTTCTATTTCCACCTCCTTTGGGTTTTGTTTTTTGGATCAGGTAGCTGTGTGCGCATAAATGCATAATCACCCCTGGCGTTGTCAGTCACTGTAGCCAAGTAGTCATTCTGTATCGTAAGTCCCTAGGGGAGTTGTTTTCAAATGACAAATCCACCCCAACCCCTCTCTCCTGTTTCTGTGTCAGTGTTGCCGTTCGAGAGCATCCCATGTTTCACACAAGGATAAATGTACTGATGTCCAATGCTCCCTCTAAGTTGTGGAGTCTTGTGAGCAAAAATTCTACTTTGTGAGCTACTGGCATTGAGGTTGTGAGCGAGTGATTTGGCTACTGTATAAATTAGTTTGCTCAGGAGCCATCCTTCCTGAGCTAAGACAAAAATGTGTGAGCCGGAAGCTAAAAAAACTGTGAGTTAGCTCACACTAACTCAGCTTAGGGGGAAGACTGCTGATGTCAATGGAACTACTCTCATGTAAATCTGCACTTTAACAAAAAAAACAACAACCCATGTATTCCAAGGAAGAGAGGCGAAGGGAAGGAGTCTGGGAGGGGCCAGAATATCCACAGAGGAATTGTGGAGCTGTCAAAAAGGAGCCAGAGCTTCTGATACACGCTGATGCGCATGGGTGAAAGACAACGTGTGGGATAGTATGGGGTATAAATTGAATAAATAAATAAAATTAATAAATAAAAAGGGGAAAAAAGGATGCTGCAACAATCTGAACAATTTACCATGGGGCGAGCGCACGGTGAAGGTGGTTCAGGGTGGGATGTCTGATCAAAACTTCCCGCAACTAGATAAACCACTGCAAACAGAGGTGTGGCCAGATCACATCAAGCCTCCAGTGTGACCCCAGCCCAGGTGTACCTACCTGTCATCTGACTAGCTGGTAGGTGCCTGCAGATCTGCAGCACCTGGAGCACAGGAGCTCCTCTGAACTGGGGCTTCGAAGTGTTCATTATTCTGAATGTTTTATAGCAGAGCTCTCTGTTACCCTCAGTCCCTAACATGTCCCTACTATCTATACCTATACCCTCAGTATAGGTGAACAGATGATAGGTGGTTGTATTTGGGTAGAAAGCCAATGGGAAGCAGAAAAGAATCAGGAAAGTGTCACCCTGTGGCGAGCATTGGATGGGAATCGCATTGGCTTGGCCTTCCTCTACCAAGGGGGTAGAGTTCATGTTTGCATGAACACTTTGAGCCCCTTTCCTTCTTAATCAGACAGTTATATATTGATCCCCCCTGAGATTTTACGTCCTCTTTTAGCTGTATAGCTGGTTATATTCATTATGTATTAAATGGTACTTATTGTAATTATGTATTAAATTACAATGTTTTAGGTGGTTGAATGTTTTTATAAATGTTGATACCCACTCTGAGCCAGGCTACCGGAGAGAGCGGGTTATAAATCCAATAAATGAAATGAAATGAAATAACAAATCTCAACAATAAATAGCAGCTCCCACTTTGGTTCTTATTTGTGAGTATCTGATTGAGATGGGAGGAACCATGCTGGTGGTATTTTACCACATGGTGACTGAAGTACGTTTTACCCTGTTGCAGTTGACCATGGCACTGCAAAAGCAGAACGAGCATTACACAGCCCATATTATAATATGCAGCCCATGGCAAAGCTCTTGCACGACCCCTTCATAACGACAACTTGCTACCAACATTAAAAAGACAGCCGTCTTCTACACCCTTAGTCCTTCTGTACATGAATCAGGGCTGATTCATGGAGTTTCACATACTGTGACTACCCAGGGTAACTAGCAGTCCCAAGGACTGTTAAATGTACTACCATGGTCCAAAGAGAACTACAAAAGCAATAGCCAGACCAACTAAAATAGCATAAAATCATGTGCAGGCTTCTACTTTCCTCTAGCTATCACAAGGCTGCTACTTGCCAACAGCCCCAATGGAGCATGTTGTTTCACGTTATGCTGCTTTTATTTTAAATTCTGAGCAACAGTCCCACCAGAAGATCCCTCCATTCCCTCCTCCAGGTATCAGAAGAAGCATCTACTTATGATATGCTGGTGGAAGGGTTAGAATTGCTCTTAGAAAACAAAACAAAAACCTCCCACACTGAGCAAGTGAATTTTGCCTTGGGGTTCTTTGATTGGGGGGTGGGGAGGAAGATGAGAGCATTTCATTCAAGCCTGTTGGAAATGTTTGTAACTTTAGATAAATAGGACAAACTGATCTGAGACAAATCCCTTACTTTCATGGCTGCTGGAAATCACTCAAGCCTCTACACAAAGATTCTCCTCATCTGGGCAACTCTTGCATTCAGAAGGACAAACACATGATGCTTCGATTGAAGCAACTCTTCTGCTACAATCCTCCAACAGCACCTAGCTGAACCAGAGGCCCCCCCCCCCCCGGTAATTAATACCCTTGTTTGATATTTACCTATGTCAAATAATGTGAATTGAAATGGTAGGGAGACAGCATTTCCCAGCTTGTTTGAGGCAATAACCACAGCTGTATAAGTGGATTCAAAATCCAGCTTCACTGCAAGATCCACTGAATCAGATGTAGAAATCTTTCTCAAAAGCTGTGTGTCATTAGTGGTTCCATTTGTTAGCCTGAAATAGAGTCATAACCAAAAGAAAATGCTGAATGATCACACTCTGCTAGAGAGCTTTTAATTTACCTAAGCAACTCTGTTGTGGAGTCATTATTATTATTGTTGTTGTTATTTTGATTTATATCCCGCCCTCCCCGCCAGGGCGGGCTCAGGGTGGCTCACATCATTCATAAAGCATAAATACAGTTAAAAACATCATCAGCATATAAATAACTTAAAATTAACCATCATTTAAAACATATAAAAACACTGGAACATATCAAGTAATAAGAGCAACAGTTCTTTATGGTATAACTTGGGTGATTGTTGGATGGCTATTCTGACACATCAGCTCAGTTCTCATTGTTATACAGCAGGCATGGCTGAGGAAATTATGGTAAGGCACAGGGCACAGGCTGGAAGCAAAGATGTCAAAGCCGGGACACAGGGACACTCCTCGGTGTATGGTGTGACTCCTAGTCGAACACCTGGTGGAAGAGCTCTGTCTTGCAGGCCCTGCGGAACTGTAAAAGGTCCCGCAGGGCCCTGATCTTTTCTGGGAGCTCATTCCACCCGGATGGAGCCACCACCAAGAAGGCCCTGGCCCTGGTTGCTGCCTGTCTGACATCCCTGGGGCCTGGAAGGGCCAAGCAATTTTGCACCCCTGAATGCAGTGCTCTCCGGGGAACATGTGGGGAAAGGCAGTTTCTCAGGTATGCAGGACCCTGACCATATAGGGCTTTAAAGGTAAGAACCAGCACCTTGAACTGAATTCGGTATGCTATTGGCAGCCAGTGCAGTGCTTTCTGTACCAGCTGGATGTGCTCCCGCATGGGAATACCCATCAACAGTCTGGCTGCCGCATTCTGCACTAGCTGCAGCTTCCGGATTTGAGACAAGGGCAGCCCCATGTAGGCTAATTTCACACCAACATACAGTTGAGTGCCTAGAACAGGGTTTTGTTATTATTATGGTATTAGTCGAGGGGCACCTCTCCCTAGCAGGTGACATGATCCAAATTCAGGGTTTAGAAACTGCACTTGGCTAGACTATCCATACATTCTACTTAAACGTTTTCATCCCAACCTTCCTCCAAGAAACTCAGGATAGGTTACATGGTCATCTCTTCTTCTGCTTTATCTCCGCGTCAATCATGTGAGGTAGGGGAGACTAAGCAAAAGGGACCAGCTCAAAGTCACCCACTAACTTCATGGCTGAGTAGGGGTTTGAACCCAGATCTGCCCAGTCTTAATCTGATACTCTAGCTATTATCCACACTGACTTTGAAATATGTTACTTATGACCAAAATTATTTTAAAGCTTTGACATAAATATGATGAAGTGATAGGAAAGATTCTAGGACACTGTTTAACTACTGAAATGATATTTATTAACAGTGCTGTTTGAAAATATTGTTTTGTTATAATGGAGAGCGAGCTGCTTTTGCCTTCTTTTTTTCCCCAGCACACTTCTCCTGGTAGGGATCTGGGTGTGTGCGTGTGAGAAGACACACCTTCCACAGCAGCAGAAGCAAGTGGCATGGGAACAGGTAGGAATGGCATCCATGCATGCCTCATTCCCACACCGGGCACGGCTGCAGCCGTCCCCCACCCCACTCCGCCTCCTTTCCCTACTGGCCTGTGCAGGACTGCAGATGTGACAGAAATTTCACTGGGCACCCCTGCAGCCTGGACCCCCTACCACCGTTCCCCTCACTCTCCCTTTCCCTGGCAATCCATGCCATAATGTTACAGTGCAGCTCACCTTTAAAAGGTGGGGAGGGGGAATAGGGCAGAGAGTTGCCCCAGGGTGTTTTGAAAGCCAAGCTCAGCTCTGCTTTACCTGCCCTATTCCAGCAGTTCTCTTTTTTAATGGGAGAACAACAGGCGTTGTCTTTCTCTGGCTTAAAGGAGAAAGGCCTGGAAACCTCATGAGACATGCATGTCATGTGGATGTTCCACTCATGACCTGGGACCTTCCTGTGTTTCCCATACAGGGAAAGCAGAGACCCAGGGGCCAGTCCCTGAGGCATAAATATTTTTACTTACTGTAGCTCATAGAGTGTATTAAAGTATGTATAACTTCCTTCCTTCCAGGTGCAAGTCAGAGTTCCATTTTTCCCATACTGAATGCAGGACACATTTTTTGGCTGGTCTGGAGGAACTTCACAAGAGACAGCTGATCAGAATCTAAGATATGAGCAGGTTAGTAATCTATTCATATGAATTGCTGCTTTTGTGGCAAAGGCTGAGATTTTCATTTTAAACTGCTTATTTCATTTTGGGTTTATTGTTATGAAAAAAAATTATAACATGCTAAAAGCAAAATAGAATTGCTCTGCTGACCAACTGGTACAAGAGATTGTTCAGAGTCCTTTCCTGGAAGGTTGACACAGTTGTGTGCATTGCCACTGTGAGAAAAAAAGTGACAACCATCTAACATCGTGGCCTTATCTGATAATGGTGGTGGTGGTGATGTGTGTGTCTGTGGGGGGCATACCTGTATTTGGCACCTAGCAAAGAAATCTTGTGTTTCTGTAGAGAAATATAACAGTACATGCTGTGAAGGGATGGACAATTAAACAAAAAGAACTCCAAAATAATAGAAAGGATTGATTTGCAAGGGCTGGATTTACAGTACTGTTCATTAATTTACACCACAAACAGTATGTGTACATTATTTTCACCTGTACGATTGTAGCACTACATCCCAGTTTGTGGGGCTAGCACACTTGTTATGGGAGTAAAACTTGTAAATGTTTATAAAATGTTCTATTTCTGCAAAAAAAACCACCCCTCTATCTTGACGAGAGACATTTAGATTGTCTGCCCTTCCCCATTTACTACCCTAACACTCACTGGAGCAGAGGGGAGAGAATGGGAAGTCCTTGGGTTGGTTCAAATTGAAGCCTACTTTATGAAAAAGTTTCAGGTAATATTATGAAAGAATCAAGTAGTAGGCAAAAATATTTTCTTCACAGATATTTTCTTTATATAGTATGACTCAGACATCACAGGAAACCATGGTTTAATTAGTCCAACTAGGGCCGTGTGATCATCCCAGGTTAGGCCACTCCACTAGCAATGGTGGGTTAATGCCTGCTGTCACACACACTAAAGCATCTACTTTCAATCTACTTTCAGCGCACTTTGCAACTGGACTTTACTGTGTGAACTGGCAAAATATTTAGTTTGTGTGACCGCAGCCGTGGACTATCAAACCAGGACTTGAAACTGTGATTTGAAGTTTATTAACCATAGTCTTAACAGAGCAGCAGTGATTTGTTGAGGCAAAGCAGGGTTTGAGCGCTTGCCTGTCAGCTGAATCCTGATTTCAGAAACTAACCATAGTTTAAATAAACCATGGTTCCATGTTTGAAGTGAATCTATAAGCAGAAGATGCAAATGTCTGCACAGTGGAGAGCTCAGAAGTGTTGGAAGTCAAGGACTATGTGCTGTCTCTTGCCTCAGACTAACAGAGGAAGACTACAAGAGAGACAGTAAACATCCTTTCCTTCTCTTTCTGGTGCTGTTCCTTTGACGTGTAGATTGCTACTCTTAGGGAAAGTTTCCTCCCTTCTGGCGCTCCCCCCCCCCTTCCACACAGAATGCCGTGCTCCTCCATCTTGGCAACCTGAGAGCAGGGCAGGCTTTCCTGTACCTCCGTTCTTCTCGCTAATTAGATTAGATCAGAGAATCTCTCTCTCCACTTTCCTATCTATAAATAGAGTTCCTGTAATAAACTCCTGTTATTAATTTGAAAAGATAAAGAAGCTTCATGTAACTTTATTTCTTGCTGGCGCACACACTGACTGGACGAGCTCTGCTGTGTTAATGCCTTTGAGCACTCTGCCACCCCACCAAAATTTACCAATGTGAGATTAGGGCTTAGATCCTATACTTTCTTTCTGCTTGAGCATCATTTATTGCAGAGGTGGTTCCCCACTGTGGAGCTCATTCCTCTCATGCAAGGCACATTTTGGCTCCTTAAAAGAAACGAGTCTTCCATGAGTGCCTAGTGCCTGAGGAACAACAAGTGTTCTGCAGTGGAAGACTGCCTCCATAATGGATGAAGAGGAGTGCCAGCAGAAAGAAGGCTTGGGATCCAAGCCTAGGGCTATGGTCAGCCAAAGGTAAGTCATGTTGTGCTTCATTGACTTCAGTAAGAGAGTTCAGTATGTGTGTTAACAGTGCAACCCTAAGAATACTTTTCTGGGAGTTCGTCGTGTTGAATAGACCTGAGTAGCATTCTGAGTGGACCTGCTTAGGGTTGATCCCTAAATCTCTTCCATTGGCAATGGGATTTAAAAGTGATTAACTTAAAGTGGATTGTGCCCTTGGGTGCAAGCTTAGAAATGTAAATAGCCCAAACTCACTAAAACGACTGGGAGTGAGGCAAAAATCCAGGAAGGCAATAATGATGACAGCCATCCTTTTCCTCTATACTTGATCTCGTGGGAATAACACATGTACTTCTTTCATCCCAAAGATTCTGACAGAGATCTAGGCAGGCAAGGCCAACACAGCACAGTTTGTTCCAATGTAATAACTCCCCTCCCACACCAGGCAGCAGTGTCACAGACATCTCTTTGCCTCTGCTGCATGCTCACAAATATGAGGACATCTCCTTACTTCCAACATTGATGTAAATTCCACATATGAGCAGTCTTGGCTCTTGTACCGCAGATTTACATTCAAAGGTCTGCTTCCCAAAGGTGTGCATTAAAACATGAGCATTGATGGAATAGCCATAACTCCTGTTTACTTTTGATCCATTTTGAAAAATGGCTATTTCATGTATGTCCCGTACACGGCCCAATATGTTTCTGTTTATCAAGCAGGAGAGAGTCACAGTTGATCCACGCAGCACATCTGTGGCACTAGCATTCATGCTTCCTCTACATGAAGGGAGGAAAATGAATATTATTTATACTGTAAGATTTCCTTGCAGAACAAATCAGTTTTGGATACCACATCTGTGTTTTTTTAATGGTGAATAAAGATGTCAAACACACAGGGGTCAATTCGGGGGGGATCGCAGTTCCCTCGGGTGAGGTGCGGGGGCGGGGCACACAATGAAGCCCCGCCCCTGCTTCCGGCCACCCCGCTTCCGGCCCTCATTCAGCCAGGAGGAGGCAGGAGAAGAGGGAGGGTAAGTTGCTTCCTCCCCGCCTCTCCCCATGCCTGCCTGCCTGGGGCCAGGGAGGGCCTTGGCAGGGCTTCCTCGCACTCCCGCCGGCCTTGCAGGTCCACCGCCGGGCCCCCAACACTTCCGGTGATGTCAGGGGGTGTGGCATATGCTAATGAGTTATGCTAATGAGTTCCCCTAGCTCTTTTTCTACAAAACGACCCCTGCAAACACAAATGGCCTCCACATACTGTGAATTGATGTGCTCTGCTAAAAAGTCATCTTCCATCTTGTCTCAGGCATTCTGTGTTCCCCACAAAAATCTCTTCCTCTCCCTGTGGCTGTACCTGGAGTAGCCATTTGATCCACATCAAATAACTGGTGACAGTGCTTAACTGTATGCCAGAAAAGGGATCAATCTGCTGAAAAAGGTTTCAGTCTATGGATCAAATTCTCTCAGAAGTTACAGGGCTGCCAGGCTGGCTTTTAGAACCAGTTGGTAACTCTACTTCTATCTACCCTTCCTGAAATTATTATTATTTTTATTTATTTATTTATTGGATTTCTACCCCGCCCTCATGCCGAGGCGGCTCAGGGTGGCTTACAACAGGCTAAAACAACATACAATTTAAAACAACGAATATGAAATATAAAGTACAATAAATACAATAAAATTAAATAAATACGATGTCATCCTATGGTAAAGTGCTAGTGCGACCCAACTGGTGCAGTCAGTTCTTATTTGAACGCTTGGTGAAACAGCTCAGTTTTCACGGCTCTACGGAACTGCTGGAGGTCCCATAGAGCTCTAATCTCATTGGGGAGCTCGTTCCACAGTGTTGGCGCCACCAGGGAGAAGGCCCTGGTCCTGGTTACCGCCAACCTGGCATCCCTAGCCACAATTGTCCATTTCCCCCCCTCTGTCCCACCCATGTGTCTGCTGCTATTATGAAAGGTATACTTGAGCCAAGAGGCAGGAAAGCACCTCTGTGTCCTGCTCTAATGTGCTGCCTCATCACATAGTTTTCTACATTGCATGTGTGCGGGGCTGTTGAATCCTTAGTGGTGATGAAGAAGGGGGAATTTAAGGAGGCATAACTTCACTTGACCAAATCAGGTGCTGAACATATGTGCAGCATGTCCTTCATGTGCTGCACAGATGGATGGAATAGGGCAGCACAGCTGGGAAGTTTCATCACATTGCATGTGCCGCATATGTGAGGTAAGCTATTTGCTCATACAAGTTGGTGGGTGGTGGGAAGTGCTGTCAAGTCACAGTTGACTTAGGATGACCCTTCATGGCGTTTTGAAAGCAAGAGATGAACAGAGGTGGTCTGCCATTGCCTGCCTCCACGTAGTGACCCTGGGCTTCCAGGTGTACTCCCATCCCCAGTACTAGCCAGGGCTGACCCTGCTTAGCTTCTGTGATCTGACAAGACCAGGCTAGCCTGGGCTACCCAGGTCAAATTCAACTTGGAAGTATGTAAATTCTAATTGGGCAACCTTTTAATCCATTGTATAAATGTGCACATAACCTTGTATGGTGCAAGCAATGGTCATTTTGTAGAAAAAGAGCTGCAGGAGCTCATTAGCATATCTAATAGGCTATTAGCATAGTAGATTATTAGCATATGCCACACCCCCTGACATCACCAGAAGTGATGTTAGAAGAGGAAGCAAAAGGGGGGGAGGGATCTTCAAAAGCCTCCCCTCCCCTTCCCCACCTGGCCTGCCAAGGTGGGCTGAGGTGGGGGGGAAGCGAAGAGAGAAGGAGTTTAAAGTTTAAAGATCTTTCCATTGTATTCTATGGCCCATAGAATATAATGGAAAGAGAGAAGGGGTTTAAAGTTTAAACCCCTTCTCTCTGGAGTTGTGCCACAGTGGTGGCATGATATTTCCATTATATTCTATGGGGCCATAGAATATAATGGAAAGACAACTCCATAGAGAAGGAGGACGGGGTCGGGATCGGGCAGCTGGGGGCAAGGCTTGCTGCCACCGCCATTTCTGCCCGCTCCTGGGCTGCTGGAGTGGTGCTTTGGCGTGTTCTGGGCCCAAAGGAACCCTGGTAATGCTGATTGGTGACAATGGGTTGAATGCAGAGATCTGTCTGTGGAAGATGCTAAGAATCACGGTTCTTCCCCCAGCCGTCATTTCCAGGAAAGTTTATTCCCAGGGCTGAAGAGCCTACATGGACTAATAGTTTCATGGCTTCAGAGGCTGCAGTGGTGAGGAGGAAGCTGGCAAAATTGCTCCCTCCTGCCTCTTGCGTGGCCAGAGCACCACTGATGGAAGAGGGAGGGAGGGTGATTTTGAATCTTTGCTCCTCCTTACTTCAGCCCACTGACCCTCATGGCTATTACTCCCTGTGGGTCCTACGATCCAGGGAATATAAAGGTAAAGGTTTCCCTTGCTCAAAAGCCAGTTGAATCTGACTCTATGGGGCGGTGCTCATCTCAGTTTCCAAGCTGAAGAGCCAGCGCTGTCCAAAGACTTTTTTCCGTGGTCATGTGGCTGGCATGACTAAACACCAAGGTGCACGGAATGCTGTTTCCTTCCCACTGAAGTGGTACCTATTTATCTTTTTGCAACTTCTTGCTTTCGAACCACTAGGTTGGCAGGATCTGGGGCCAGAGACGGGAACTCACTCCATCATGTGGCACTGGGGTCTCGAACTGCCAAACTTCCGTAGCTCAGCGTCTTAACCTCCGAGCCACCGCGGCCCCTCCAGGGAATATACTTCCTTGCAAATGATTTGCTTGCAAGAAGGGAAAGTGATGAAGATCTGTACCCCTTGTGCAAACCTTGAGCTGGCTCCAATCCACTGATTTTAGCTTAATAGCAGAAAATATGATCCCTCTAAAAATTAAATATAAAATAAAGCAAAGTACTCAACTCATCACAATCCTCCATGCTTCCAAAGTTTACACCTAGAATTGAAAGATTAATGTTGTAAATACGCAATTCAAAGAAATACAAGGAATTAAAAAACCTGTAGTCTTTCTTTATTGTTCCTGTGGCCAAGAGTTGGGGCAGTACTCACAAGACTATCAGCAAGGGAGGGGGCCATAGCTCTGTGGCAAAGCTTTTGGTGCAAAAGGGCCAAGCTGAAGTGCCATCAGGGCCAGAAACTCATGGCAGAGGAAGGCCAATCCATTGAGTAAACATGGCTATCTAAAAGGGTTTCTCATAAGACTATTAAGGCCAATGTCCATAGTTACATAATTGCGCCACTGGGACCAAAGTTCAAACTCTAGCATGGCCAAGGCTCAGATCATAGCATTTCACAGTTAAACTATCTTAGGTGGAAGGACTCAGCTCAAGCATCATGTGAAACCATGGCTCATTTTATCTATGGTTCATTCACTCAGGTCTTAGTTTGCCTTGACAAATGCTGGCTTTGTTTTCTTCTCCCAGCAGGCTGGGAGGATGCCATTGGGGAACAAGCCAGGATGTCTGCATTTGCATACCCACATATTTGTATGCTGCTATATTTGTATGCATGCCCCATTCTTTCCAGATTAAGGGGGCCACCTGGGCAGAGGGCAGCCAAGATCTCTGTTTGCAAGTACAGGACTTACCTATTCTTGTGCATGAAAAAAGCCAAACGGTTAAGAATGCACTCCATGAAAAGAACATCTCAATGTACCCAGAAAGTCTTTACCTGTTTTAAAACAAACAGATAAACAAACTCATCCAGCTAGCCATTAAAGACAGTTGTCAGAAAATGGAGCATCTCACATGCCCCAGGTTCAAATTTCTTGAAGACTGCCAACTACCCGGAGAAAAAATAATGTCCTGTTCCTTTAATAGAGGGCTAATAGGTTGTCATCTACTAGTTGGTATTATTTATCACCATGACATGAAAAGCTTTAGTTCCTCTCTTTTAAAAGGACAGGACATTCTTCTCCAGCTCCTTCAATAAGCAGTTCGAGACCCGAGTGTACCGCATGACGGAGTGAGCTCCCATCTCTAGTTCCAGCTCCTGCCAACCTAGCAGTTCAAAAGCAAGAAATTGCAAGTAGATACATAGGTACCACTTCAGTGGAAAGGTAACAGCGTTCCGTGCGCCTTGGTGTTTAGTCATGCCGGCCACATGACCACGGAAATGTATTCGGACAGCGCTGGCTCTTCGGCTTTGAAACAGAGATGAGCACCGCAACCCGAGAGTCGGACTCGACTGGCTTTCGAGCAAGGGAACCTTTACCTTTTATAATGACAGGACACCTTTTTCTCCAGGCATTGGGCAACCCTAATTGTGCTTCTTGCCCCATTCGGAAGAAGAGTTGTTTTTTATATTCCACATTTCTCTACCCTAAGGAGTCTGAAAATGGCTGACAATCACCTTCCCTCCCCACAACAGGCACCTTGTGAGGTAGGTGGGGCTGAGAGAGTTCTGAAGAACTGTGACTGGCCCAAGGTCACCCAGCAGGCCTCATGTGGTGGGGAATCAAACCTGGTTCTCCAGGTTAGAGTCTGCTGCTCTTAACCATGACACCACGCTGGCTCTCAGCTACTGCTTCTCTCACCATGCTTTTTCTATACCAGTGTAGGCCTGTGAGGTGGAAGAGCTAGGATATTGGTGGGGGAACAGGTCTTCATTTTAAGATATCATCAGCTTCTCTGGGTAATACCTCTAATACAGGTATTAATTTGTGAGGAGATAGAAAAGGGAAGTAATTGCATTCGTTCATTTTGCTGTACCTGAGTGACTGAAGGGCTAAGGCCCCTGCTACACAGCAGGGAAAAGACGGGGCGAGGCG